ACTTGGATCAAAAGGATGCAGCCTAATTAAGTTCTTTGCATTGCTCTTAAGCTTCAGTAGATGATCAAAAGGACCCTGACAACCATTTCCAATGATTATATCCTTACTGTAATTCAAGGCTGTTTCAACACTGCGCTTAGCTACCTGTTGAAGGTAGAAATTTTGATTTGACAAAAGGAATAAAGGTCAAATGAAATGAAATGCATTCCATGAATGTAGTGAAATAAAATTTCACATCTATGATCTACCTACTTATGAGAGTCTGGCCAAGAAAGTGTAATATGTTAATGATACAAGCCTGTTGTTAGGTGTAGATTAGAATCTCTACCCCCGATTGCCTCCAAAGTTAAAATGAAGTTAATGATCCAAACCTTTCCACTCTTATTATTGCTCAGCTCATTTACACTAACAAGCTGAACATGATTCTGAACTTGAACATTTGGATAGTAAAACAAGCCAAGCTCAAAAAAAAAGAAAATGACATGAAATAAGCGAGCCAATTTGTTTATGTCACCTGCCAAGCTAAACTGCCGTAAGCTAGGTTCTCATTGCTTATAGATCTACAAGACACTCCTAAATCCTAATCTAAGCCCCTCCAAACCCCAAAATGTGTAGCCAGTTACCTTAATAGCAGAAATCATTGGAGAACCTTTAGATAACTCAGCTGCAATAGAAGAAGCCAATGTGCAACCAGTTCCATGAGTATTTGCTGTTCTTATGCGTGGGGACTGAAACTCATAGAATTCCTTCCCTATATCAAGTGAAAGAGGGAAAAATGAGATTCAAGATGACAAAAGCACAAAAATTCACATAGTTGAGCACATGACAAAAAAATACAGAGCATGATAGCAAGGATTCCAAAGAAATGCCAGACCCACCATCATATAAGATATCAACAGCATCAAGTGAAGTGGGAAGGTCACCGCCTTTCACAAGTACATTCCTGCCAGCAAAATCTTCATCCATTTATATACTCTTCCGGGTATTTTCAAATTATTTTTAGCACAAGAAAAAAATAGAAAAGTGAACAAAGTGATTATTATAAAAGAAGCTTTATGTAAGTAGAGTCTAACCTTGGGCCAAATTCATATATAGATTTAGCAGCAAATCGCATGTCATCAAATGTTTCCAAGTGCAAACCACCAAGCAAAGCAGATGACTCCTTCAGATTTGGAGTCACTAAATCAGCCAGGGGAAAAAGTTCCTCCCTATTATGAGGAAACTTAAAGTTATGGTTACATCAAGTTATTGGCGGAATAATGAAGAGATGCATAAGTTAAAATTACAAATGTTCAGTCAACATACCGAAAGCTGTCTAAGATTGAAGGACCAGACAATGTGTGCCCACTTGTAGAAACCATAACAGGATCAACCACCAAAGCTGTCTTCAGAAATTTGATGTTTCAACTCAAATGCAAATGAGTTCGAACCAGAAAGAAGATTACTCATTGCAACAAGAAAGAGTGTACCTTGAACTGGAAACTCCTTAAGACTCTGACAGAGGACCTTGACTATGCCAGTTGAAGGAAGCATGCCTGTTTTCACCTAAATAATTTCCACACTATACCGTGATCAATAACAACCTTGCAAACTACATTCAAGGATCAGGAAATTATTAAACCATGTAGCAGCTTAATAAATAACACTTTTAACTGGTAGAAAGGGAACTCTGGAATTCAAGTTGAGAATTTCCATAGCAACGAATTGAGGTTTTAGTATGTGGATCCTAAATCATTTGGCGAAGGTGCTAGGTAATGATTATTATTGTATTTGATATTTGAATACACATATCTCAAATGCACAATTACATTCAGCATGCACTCTGAACCCATGGGACTATGGGAGACTGAAATTTACAACAGAATATGAATCCCATTTAGACTTTCCATTTTATCCAGTCTGTATTATATAACTAATACATACTTAACTGCATAGTGCAATCCTTCTTTCTTCTCAAAATCCACATGCAGATTAAAATATTATGGACACAAGTAGCCGTATCTGCATACTAATACACTTACAACATCAGGATGCATATCAGATAGCACTGACCTCAGCTGCTCCGCCAATAAATCCTCCGGCACAATGTGCACGCCCTAAACATGAAAATTCCACAGCTCACATGAAGCAAAAACTCAAGTACTCGAAAACTAACGCCCACAATTGTTCCAAATGAAAATTGATCATTCAAAATCCATTCCTTACCTGAACTCCCACAGTGTTCTGAGCAGTAACGGCTGTGATCACCGTAGAGCAGTAGACTCCCCTCGCCGCACAAGCCTTGAGGTCCGCCTGAATTCCGGCGCCGGCGCCGGAATCCGAACCGGCAACGGTGAGTACGTGCGGAACTCTGATTTTCGAACTATCGCAAGACATTGTTACCAAAGTCCTGGATTGACAAAAGCGTTGAAGGCGACCCACGCTACAACTCAACTGCAAACGATATATACATCGCATATAAATATTCACTTGTATATAACCTAGGTGTGTTCGTATAACTATACAGTAATCAATATAAATACATAGAGGTACATGCCTTTGACTTAAGAGAAGATGAGCTGTAGAGGGCTTGAGAGCAGGAATCCATAAATGGGAGCTTCATCTACGCTCATCGAGTATGTAGGCGGAAGAGATAAAGCTGACGATGGAATTTTAATTTTTAACCATTTTTGTTAAATTCTACTATTAAAAAACAAAAAATCAAATAAGTTCCAAAATTGAACCTCATAACAAATATTCAATTAAATTCTATATTTACTTTTTTTATATCATGATTCTTTACAAAATATATATCTTCAGTGAAGACGTTGTTGACCCTGGGTGCTTCATTATATTGAGAAAGTATGTTTGAACATATACTACAATGTAATAGAGTTAGTAGCGTTCAAAAAATATATATATGTTATATATTTTTTCAACTTAAATAATCAATGTCCTATCACGGAAATAATTACGGGTTGGTTTGAATTAAAACGTATATGGTTAGTGGTTCCAGTTGGGAATGTCAATCGGTTCGGTTCGAATTAAAACGTATATGGTTAATGATTCCAGTTAGAGATGTCAATTGGGCCAGTCCGCTCGATTTCGGGCTAATCGGGTAAGTATACTCTACTCCCCGAACCCGTCCCCGCCTCTACTAAGGCTCGATCGGCCCGCCGGGTTCGGTAAGTATACTCTACTCCCTATCCCCTCGATCTCATCGGGCCAACCCGCTCGTTTCGGGCTAATCGGTTATTTTATTATTTTGTTTCGGGTTTGATCTCATCCGGCCAACCCGCTCGGTTTTCGGGCTAATCAATCATTTTATAATTTTGTTTTCGGGTTCGGTAAGTATACTCAGTATACTCTACTCCCCGAACCCGTCCCCGCCTCTACTGAGGCTCGATTTCGTGACCTTATACATGGAAGAGATCACTATATGCCATCTGAGCACAATGTGCTCGGCAACTTTTCATTATTTATTATTATAAAAATATTTATATTGTAATATATTTATTAAAATTTTATTTAAAAATGTAATAAAAAAAATACTAACCCATAAACTCACATATAAATTCCATGTATGTTAAGTTTCATATAACTTCTATAATAAATAATAGTTTTTAATAGTTCGGGTTATCGGACTAGCCTTTTTAAATTTGGATTATCGGACTTATCGGTTTCGGATTCATCGGGCTAATATTTTTTATCGAGCTAGCCCGTTCAGACCATAAGCCTATCGATTTCAATTGTATGAGACCGACTCATCGGATTCAGGCTAAATTGATATCCCTAGTTCCAGTTACAGTTCTAAACTACAAATAATTTTAAAATAAATATAATTATTATTTATTATTAGATTACAATTTAGCTATTATTTAAATAAAGTTTAAACTTTAAATAATATTTTAACGTTTAACTACAACAATATTTTGAAGTTTAATTTTCAAGTATAAATATTTCATATAACCATTTTAGGATGGAAATTTTCAACAAAAAAATAAAAATAATTATTGAATTTGAACAATTTTAAAAATACAAAATAGATTTTACAAAAAAAATAAAAATAAAAAATAAAAAATAAAAAAAACAAAAACCAAAATATGATTCGAACTTGAACCGTTGATTCCATAACCGGATGAATAACCTTTATATAAGGTTTTGGTTCAGCTGATTTTGGGATCGGGAACCATCGGCTTGGAACCATAATCAACCTGTAAGCATGATTACCCACCCACCGGAGCTCGATCATGTGACTACTCATATTGAATAGTAACAGATATATCATCGTTCTATATTTTTTGAAGTTGGAAAATTTTATATAATAGTTGGCAAATTTTATATTTACTTTTTAAACTAGTTATTACTCCGTACAAAATTAGCGAGCATGTGAACTATTTTGAGTTGATATGGATCTTAGGTGGTTATTATTTTTGTTGTATACATTTTAGGAAAATGTCAAATAAGCCTCCAAACTTTACTGAAAAAGTCAAATAGCCCCATCAACTTTTAGAAGTTATAATTAAATCCACAAATATGTTATATTTGAAGCAATGAAACCTACTAACATGTTGGTGACATGTAATTGCAACTTGCAAGACAATTAGGGATTCAGTCAACTCCGACGAATGTCCGACCAAATTCTGACAAGCTAAATCAAATACCAACGACTGACGACTGTTCGCGTTCTGCTGGAGAAGGCGACCAACATGGTCACATTCATTGACAGTGGAGAAGCCAACCAACTTGGTCACCTTATCCGGCAGAATATGACCGGGACTGAACAAGTTGAGAACATGGATGAGAATACTTGTTTATCTTTAAAGTTATATGAGAATGAAATTGTAATTTTTTCAAATCAAACGCTCCGTTAATATGTTAAACATGAGGTCTCAGTCTCTCACATTACAATGTTGACTACTTGACTATGGTTGACGGTATAATGTTATTTGGGCTGACCCGTTGAGTTGATAAATGCAAGGCCCACCTTACGGAATTCCCAATCAGTCCAAAGCCCTAAATCAGATTCGTCCGACAGCTATCCCGCCAGTACATGGCGCCATGATTTCAAAGCTTTCAAGTTTCCCCCCCAATATTTTCACTTCTCATTTCCCCCTCTGCACACACCAGTGCACCACCCTTTCAGCCTTCAATTTGACACCGCCGTACTCGTCAACTCTCTGCTCCGCCTCCTCTCTCTCTGATCGACCGGGAACACCATTGTTACATGGTTAGTTTATCTCCGAGAATTATTTTCAAATTCCTTTTTTTTTTTGTTTGTTTATTATTTAAAGTTCCAGATATTCGCTCTTGGCCCCTCCCTCTGTCCTGACTTTTAGCTCATACCCTCTCTTGTACAATGATTTGGATTGCATTGGCTGGTTTCTGCTTTTGGTTTCAGCTTTTCGTATAGAAAGCCGCTAGGGAAAGTTGGTGAGCATGCTATTTAATGTCAAGGGAGAATCACATGAGGCAAGTATCTTAATCGACACAGCTTGTTGTTGTTGTTGTTGTTGTTGTTCCTGTTAATAATTCATTGGATGATGCATTTGATTACACAGTGAAAGCAATTGGGGCGAGGAATCTGGCTCTGGAGACAAGCTCCCTAAAGTTAATTGGTCTCAACATGCCAGCTCTCTCAATAACTTTTCCAGTCAAGATAACTTGCTAGGATCCAATTTCCTTTTTTCCCTACCAGAACAAAAGCCTCATGCCAGAGAAGCAATGGCTGTAAGGTATACACTGCAGTTATCTTTTTCCAACTTAGCTTTTCTTTTCAAGGTTCTGTATACTTCTTTCACTGAATTTTCAAAGAAGAAAACTGTTGTTGTAAAATACAGTGGAAAATCCCAAGTATTGGCTTATTAGATTGATCAATTAACTGTTATACAATTTTATTTTTATTGAACAGTCTCAAGTCTATTATATACTCATTATTATTGCATTGCTTATCAATGTTCTAGGTCTACAATTTGTCCAGTCCCTAATGTGAGATTGTCTGACCCTTTAGCTGAGAAGGTATGTTCTTATATTATTCACTTGTGTATGTTTTACACATTAATATACTAGGGATTTTTTTTTTTTTTTTTTTTTTTTTTTTTTTTTTTTTTTTTTTTTTTTTTTTTTTTTGAGCTTATTTCTTGTTAGAAGAATATAAACTATCATCTCATTACAAGGTTCATCTTTCTTGTTGCTTCAAGGCTCAGTTAGTCTCTCATTTTGCAAGGAAATATATCTGATTGAATACTATTTTGATGTAAATTATAATTGGTACACATGTACTATATAAATATAAATTCAGCACTGTTTTTCTGATTTTCTATTTATCTTGGCTTTAACCTTATACTTGGTTATTAAATCTTGATATTTAAAAATGCAGGCTTGGCAACTTCTATCCAGCCTTCGGTTGTCTTCCAAGAGCTACACTAAACCTGGGAAAACTCTACCACTAAGTATAGATGCTAGTGCTTCTGCCATAGGAAAATCTGGTCAAGCTAATAAAAAATGGTCTTCTAATGTGAATAGCACTTCCTTTGAGCATGCCCCATTGCATCAGAACTTCAGCATAAGTAACAATGAAGTTGGAGAATCCAGAAAATCTGTAGGGGCTTCTTTTCCATTGCATGCACAAGTGGGAAACTTTGTAACTAGGCAGAATACTGTACACACATCGATGGCAAATACTTCTCAGAATCGTCCCTCTGATGGATCAGCCAGCAGTGGTGCAGATGATGTAAACAAAATAAATGGGTCTAATGGAACTTTTGTGGCTGGAGTTGATGATGATGATATACTAGAGGTAATTCACTTTAGTGGCTTACAATGTGGATGGGTGAAAACAGAAAATTACAATTTTACTTTAAGCACTATAAACTTAAAGAGTTGAGGGTTGATTATTGTCTTAGTCAATTATAGATATAAAAAGAGGTGCGAGCATTAGTTGTTTTTACCTCAAGTTTATCTCTCATTTATAGAGGAAACCATAAATTTGAAAAAAGTTCCACTTATTAAATGTTTGAACAATTTTATTATTTTCATGTGACAAGTCTAGTTACCTATATACATAGTAAATGATTTCTATGCCTTGTAGCAAATTGATGTTGACCAAATAGTTATGGAGCATTATCAATCCAACTGTACACCTCAACCATCAGTTTCAAAATTTCCATCTTTTACTCCGATTACGAGTTCTAAATGTATGGCGAGATCTGAAGACACAAATTTGCCCTTGGAGTTGTCCTCAAATTGCAGTCATGGTTTGCAGGTTAGTAATTTTGACTTTGGATTTTGGATCTGAGGTGCTTTGAATAACTGATATTCTTATGCCTATTCCATGTGGTTATTGCAGCTAGGACTTTGTCCTGAGGCTTCAAATCATTTACAAGAGATGAAGGATAAGTTAATTTGTATTTCAAATGATCTACTTGACAATGTTACTAATCTCAGTCCAGATCAAGTTGAAAATCTGCGTAAAGAAAGGTTTACTTGCCTCTCCTATAACTTTCTACTCTTTTGGTTTTTCATACCACCAAGAAAGTGTATTTAATGCAGGCAGGTAAAACATAAAAATGATATGTTTGAGTCAAGAAAATGTATTTAATGCAGGCTGTGTGAGGATCGATGTTTGGTGAATAGTATTGGTGATATTATTATTATTATTATTTTTTTAAAAGATTTCCTCCACATTTGCTTTGCAGCATATATCTCTTATAAATGACATAGATGATAACCAAGTTAATACTTGGTTGCCTGCGTATTTGTAGATTGCAGTTGAATACACAAATTCAACAGCTTGAAAAGTATCTCCGCACAGTATCAGTCAATGAGGAAAGAATAATGTCACAGTTCTCTGCATCCACCACATCTTCCGCTATTCAATATGAGACTCCTCGAACAGTTCCATTCAGGATTGATCCCATGAGGCTTGAAACACAGTATCAATATAATGGTCCAGTTGGATTTGATCAATGGAATTCTTCATCAATGTCATTTGCATCCAATGATATTTCAACTGCTCCAATCAATAGAGAAGCTTATATACCAACATATATAGAAGTCAATTATGTTGATGGTTCAAGTGACAAAAAGTGGAGCAGCCGAGACTTCCCTTGGACAAAGAAGCTTGAGGTGTGTACATATGGATAGATTTGGATAGTTTATCTTTCTCAGGGTGTGTATTCTGATATCTGGTAATTTGTTCTGCTACTAGGCTAACAACAAAAAGGTATTTGGCAATCACTCTTTTCGCCCCAACCAAAGGGAGGTGATTAATGCTACTATGAGTGGAAATGATGTATTTGTCCTAATGCCAACTGGGGGAGGAAAAAGTTTGACTTACCAGGTGATTCTATTACTTTTCTTTGTTAAGTATTCCGTGTTCTTAGAAGTATGAGAAGACATATTAACTGTTCCAGATTAGATGCTATCATGTGGTGGCACTGTAACTTTAGTTTGCAGGTCTGTCTTTAAAATGTAACTAGGAAACATCAATGGTAATTTGTTATGTTAGCACTTCTTTGACCTTCTTTCAAATGGGGAGAGAGGCCCTTAATTAATGTTGATTAATTGACCATGGTGTTAGGATTTGATGCCTTAGTGATGCTGTTGGAAGCTGTAAGTGAGATTAGTTACTTAATTGAGTAATTCTTATTGTGAAGTGGCAGCTAAATTGTTGTTAGCATCTAGGTGGAAAATGCTCCTCTAAAATAGGAATTGAACTATGTCAGAGGGTTAAGAAATTGTTGTGCATAAACTTATCATATTTGTTATGGTGTTTATTCTTATTTTTTGTGCATTTTATGTTATTTCCATTTTTTGTAATGCCAATTTTGTCTGAAAGATGAGCTCTATCATTTCTGATGGTCTCATGGTCCTGCTTTTACTGACACCACAAGGAAAGTTTTCTTAATCTCAAACCTGAAGAAATCATGTCATTAAAATTTATATGCACTCATACTATTAATGCTACAACATGAATGCTGGCCTATTGCAGCTTCCAGCTCTCATTTCTCCTGGGATTACTTTGGTCATTTCACCTCTTGTTTCACTCATTCAAGACCAGATAATGCATCTGCTACAGGTAACTCTTCCTACTGTTGTAATACCTGTATTTGGACTTGATGTGTCTCTTTGATACCTAGTAAAAATACATTTTACTTGCTATGTTATATTGCAGGTCAACATTCCTGCTACTTATCTTAGTGCCAGCATGGAATGGGCTGAGCAACAGGAGATCTTTAGAGAACTTAATTCAGGCGTTTGCAAATACAAACTTTTATATGTCACCCCAGAGAAAGTTGCTAAGTGAGTGCTGGCTGTGTTGTACAATTGTACTAAACTAATCATTTTAGCTTTAAGTGACTTGTCTACATCCTTACATCTAAAACTCAACCACTGAACCTAGAAGCAATATTATAGTTTGATGCATTAATTAGTAGAGAATGAATTTGAGAAAACAATGATGTTCTGATTTCTGAAGAACATTGATTATTGAGTGCAGAAGTGATGTTCTATTGCGACACTTGGAGAGACTACATGTCAGTGATTCACTTTCTAGAATTGTTATTGACGAAGCACATTGTGTAAGCCAATGGGGACATGATTTTAGGCCAGACTATCAGGTGCTACCTTAAGTTAATAATGTTGTGTAATGTTAATTTAGGTTTTGGGTTCATACTAAACTTTTGGTACCCATCCAGTGTCTAGGTATCCTGAAACAGAAGTTTCCAAATGTACCTGTTCTTGCCTTGACTGCTACTGCAACACTCAGCGTCAAGGAAGATGTTGTTCAAGCTCTTGGTCTTTCCAACTGTATTCTCTTTCGGCAGAGTTTTAATCGCCCTAATTTACGGTAAGGGGAGGTCCTTGTGCCTTTAGAACTGCCACTGTTTGAGATATATGCTCCTGGCATTTGCATTGACCATTTGCCACTATTGCAGATATTCTGTAGTCCCAAAGACAAAGAAGTGTTTGGAAGACATTGATGCCTTCATAAGAGAAAATCATTTTGATGAATGTGGAATCATCTATTGTCTTTCAAGAATGGATTGTGAAAAAGTTTCTGAAAAGTTGCAGGTCCAAACATATTCTTTGGTTCTATTCTTCTCTTATTTGTCTTTTGTGTGTGTGGCAAACTTGATAGGGGGATTTCCCTTGCATAAGTTGGACACTTGTATTCTGAGTTATTTATGGGGACCAGAGATTTCAATCCTTTTTCATGCAGTCAGCAATGCATCTTTGTTTCTGTCCTCTACTATGACTCATTGGGACCCTCACATTCTCTCCTTTATTTATTTATTTAAATTTTAAATTTCAAATTTTGAATACCAGCAAAGTGTAGACAGCTTACAGCACATAAACTCAGTAGATGAAATGTTAGCAGTAAATACTACAAGGAGAAATTGATGTCCTTATGTTTTTCCTAACTAAATTGGAATTAAAGAAGTTGACATTGGGGTGGGGTGGGGGATGACAAAAGGCTTCGAAGATGTCTTTATATGGATTTGATACTCAGGAAGTCTTTTTTTTTTTTGAAAGCGAGGAAGTCTTATTTTATTACTATTACATTACATAGTTTAGAAGCTACCAAATAATTAATCATTCTTAGTTTTTGTTAGATGAATAAGGAGTGTTAGAGAAATGAGGGGTAGTTAGAACTCTCCTCCTAGCCTAGTCTTTCCTTTTTTGAATTCTGTGGTCACATTGGTTTTACCTTCCCACACTTAACAGTTTTCAAAGGAGAAATTCAATCCCAAAAGGGTCTAAGGGAGTGTTATTCTCCTCCTTTATTCTAAATATAACACTCCCTTTTATAGGGCTGATTACAAAGATTTCTAAACTAAGAATGATTAATTATTTAGTAATTTTAAATAATTAATCTACCTAAACTAATTCGAAGACTAAAATTAATAAGTTAAATAACTATTTAGTAATCATGTAATAGTAATAAAATAAGACTTCCTTAGCATGGATCAAGATTCCAAATTATTTTGGTTTCTTTTGGTCCATTTTCTACATTATATATTTGTTTTGCTAATATAAATAGATTGTTATGATCTGCTGACTCATTTTTGGCTATAAAATTGGATGCATTTAATGTTTAGGATTATGGACATAAAGCAGCATATTACCATGGCAGCATGGATGCTGCTCAGCGTGCACATGTTCAGAAACAATGGAGCAAGGATGAGGTCAATATTATTTGTGCAACTGTTGCGTTTGGAATGGGTATGCTTAATAGATTAATGATCAAATGAGCTCCTGTGAGAACCTGCGCACCAACATGAATGTACACAATCGTCTACATAAGTGCACGCAAACTATTCCAGGATAGATTGTGTGCATTTATGTACAAGTTCACAGGTTTTCACGGGAGGAGGGGTTCCCATTGGAACATTGTTTGAATATTCATGATACTTTCTCTAAAGCTCTTACATATAAGCTAATATAAACTTGGGAATGCATTTCAGGTATCAATAAGCCAGATGTTCGTTTTGTCATTCATCATTCTCTACCAAAATCTATAGAAGGCTACCATCAGGTAATTACTGAAATTTTCATCTTCAGCTGTACTCTTTTTGCTTCTCTAAATCTGCATTGCTTTTTTGTAAATCAGTTGTACTTGCAATATAATGTGGTATTCTCATGCTGCAGGAGTGTGGCCGAGCTGGTAGAGATGGCCAACCTTCATCTTGTGTGTTGTACTACAGCTACAGTGATTATGTACTCTTTTTTTGGGGGTTTATTCAAAGTAGTATTCTATGGATGCTATTATTGCATTGTTTATTTTGCTTGTTTTAATTCATTTCTTTTTTCTGTAGATAAGAGTCAAGCATATGATTAGCCAATGCAATGTAGAGCAAAGCCCCTTCACACCTGGATATGGTCGTTCCAGCATGGCAACCTCTGGGAAGATTCTGGAAACAAACACTGACAATCTTTTGAGAATGGCATGTGATTGAACTTTTAATTGCTGAAGTAGTTACTATTCTAGTATTCTCTAATCTCAATTATATTTGTTGTGTAAAAGTAGTTTATTAAATTGTTTTCAGGTTAGCTACTGTGAGAACGATGTTGACTGTAGGCGCCTCCTTCAGCTTATTCATTTTGGTGAAAAATTTGATGCTGTCAACTGCATGAAAACTTGTGACAATTGTTCAAAATCTCAGAGCTGCATTGACAAGGATGTTACTGGAACTGCAAAACAATTAGTTAAGACAGTTTAATCTTCCCTCATTTTATTTACTAGAGTTCAGAAAAACCATTGTGTAGTAATGGTATTCTAACTGCATAACTCCATTTGGTATCCTTCCCATTGATCAGGTCGAGTTAGTGAAGATGACTGGGCAGCAGTTTTCATCAGCTCACATCTTGGAAGTTTTTAGGGGTTCCCTAAACCAATTTGTATGCTCCAGTTGCAAATCATTATTGTTAATTCAAAATTTATTGTTATCTAATCTTTATCTACTCTCTACTGGTGCCTTGACTAGGTCAAGAAACATAGACATGAAACCTTGAGCCTGCATGGAGCTGGAAAACATCTAGCCAAAGGTGAAGCATCCCGTGTGTTGCGCCACCTTGTTACTGAAGATATTTTAGTGGAAGAGGTTAAAAAAAGTGATATGTATGGATCCACATCATCAGTCTTGAAGGTATGGTATTTGTTTTTGGCTGATATCTCATAGTTTTGAACTGGAGATCAATCATTCCATTGAACCCTTTTTTAATACCATTAATATGTATTTGAACTCCATACATTCTCTTTTTCCAAGAAATCCAAATGGCATTATCTTTCTGCTTTCAGGTGAATGAATTCAAAGCCAACAATCTCTTTGCCCAAGGACATATAGTCAGATTAAGGTACAATTTTGTGTTCAACATTTTATGTTTTCTTTTAATTGCACAGTACAGAGATCTATATCCTTCCTAATAAGAACATGAAAACAAGAGAATACTTATTTACTTCTATTCAGTTTACTTCTAACTTATTTCCTTGCAGATTCCCATCATCCGCCAAGGCATCTAAGCCGAGTAGAGTAGAAACAACTCCTGCAAAAGGCACACTAACATCAATGATGCAACAATCTGAGGTTGAGGTTGACCTGGTATGTTTGTGATTGGATGTGATTATATCACTGCTTTTTGTAGTAATGGTATTTGTTTCATTTTAGAATTAAGACAACAAAAATTCGTGTTTTATCTCGTTTTCCTGTAGGACCTGTCAGCCAAACTGTATAATGCACTACGGATGCTTCGAACTAACCTTGTTAAGGAAGGTGGAGAGCGATTCATGGCTTACCATATATTTGGGTAGGCACATTACTTCTTCCAAATCCAATCATTCATTTGGTAAACTATAAATCCCCTGGAATATATTGTTTTTTAAATATGACTACTATCAAAGCATGGCATGAGGTCATTGAGGTGATATTACTCATCAGACTGTAAACTGCACCTAAATCAACATATATAATTTTACAAAAACCAAACCAAGAATTTTTTCATTATTAAAAAAAAACATTGATCATAAGTAGATTGCCCTTTCCTCTCAACTCTTATTTGTGTTTTCATATTGAGTCTGGAATGTGCCTGATAAAACAGCTTTCTTTGGTATCTATAGGAATGCTACATTGCAGCTCATAAGCAAGAGGGTACCTAGAAATAAAGTTGAGCTGCGAGAGATCAATGGCATTGGCAAGTAAGTTTGTAGACACTTATTTTGTTAGGGAAAATGCAATATTAGTCTCCTAGCTATTTCCATTTAGGGTCCGTTTGGAAACTCTAAAAATGACTTTTAGAAAATGTTTTCTAAGTTTTCAGTGTTTGGATGCCGTAGGAAAATTCAATCAACGGAAAACATTTTTCGTTGACGGAGAAAAATGTAGACATTTTTGCGATTTTGGCGCAATTCATTTTCCGCCAACACTCAAAATATGGAATATGGTTGCCTTTGCTGCCGTCGTTGCCTTCGATTCCTCAGTTTCCATCTATTCTTATATTTTTCATAATACAACTAAATACGGAAAAGGAAAATATTTTTTAAAAAATAAGTCATTTGTCAGAAGTCGTTTTCCTGCTCTACATGACCCTTAGTCGTTTTAGTCTCTTACAATTAACAATTGCAAAATTAGTTCTCAATATATGCAATTTTGGTCATTTTGCTAATTTTTGTCTCTGGATATTGCAATTCGCCGGATGGATACATATGTGGTCAAAATCCAGGAATAAAGTAGACAAATATGGCGATCGAGTATTGGAAACCATAGAGGCCACCATTAGGGGCCACTACTCGAACAGCGGCAGTAGCAACGACAGCACTGATTCAGGCAAGAGGAGAAGGGAAAGCGCAAACATGGCCAATGCAGGGTGCGAAGAAGACGACTTCGCCGCGGAAAGCACCGCCCGCTCCAAGAAAAAGGCGCCAAAAAAGCACCGGAAACAGGACGAGCCTATTGACTACGCGGATCTAGGATACTTCGACGATGCATTTATGGACGACGCTGATCTCGAGGAAAACTCCGATCCCCAAATCAATGGCGGCAATGGAGGGAGAGTGCTACCTTCATGGCGGGCGCCGGGGACTTAGAATTGTACTGCGTTTTGTAAGTAGGTCTAACTTTATTTCACTGGACAGTATTATTTCTACGCAAGGATGATTAAATTCACATCACATCAGACCACCATTATCTGCTCCTCCTTTTGTACAGTGATTGTAGCGTTACGAGCCGCTGCCGTCTGAAATTATGCCGCCTCTTTTACGAGTGCGTTTTTGGCCTTCTAATCTTTCGCCCTTCATAACTGTCACATTGCCTTTCTGGAAATCATGCCAAGAAAACCAAACCCCGGTTCAGTCTTGGCATGAAATTCGTCAAAACGCCCGCATGGGTAGCTCAACTGGTCATAGAGGTGAAATTTTAGAATAATGACTAGGGATCGAGTCTCATCAGCGACAGTGTGGGAGTAACCTCTCAAAGTAAGGGGGGTTCCTTGTGCGCAGTGAGCACCGATCTAGCCTCTATGGTTCATGTTCAGTTGAGTTACCATGATTTACAACCTCCCAAATGCTCTGTCGGGCCGGGGTGTGGGGGGCCCTTAGGGTTGGGATTCAACTTTTGGAATAATGAAATTCGTCAAAACCACTAGTATTTAGTTTTTTTTTTTTTTTTTTTTTTTTTTTTTTTTTTTTTTTTTTTGAAAAAGAAGGAAACTCAGATGTGAAAAAAATAGTAAGAGCTCAAAAAAAATCAAAGTATTAATCAATATTGTGTTGTATTGTATGTATAAGTCTTTTTATTGGTCAAATTAATTTTTTTAAGGTTGATTTTTGTAATTAATATTGTTTTTAAATATATAAATTTTGTATATATGAAACATAATATTATAAAAATTAAATTACAAATAATTTTAATAAAGCTTTATTAATTAAATTAGACACATAAAATAAAATGAAATATATATATATATATATATATATATATATATATATATTATTTTAGTGCAAAATAGTATGATTTTTTAAATAAATATTAAAGATGTTACTTGTGGGTTCACCTCTTTATTAGGTGAGGTTAATCAATGAAGTAGTAGTCTTTGTGTCAAATCAACTATTTTTATAATATTAAATTTAATGTTAGTATATAAAATTTATATATTTAAAAATTAAATTAAAAATATTACTGAACGAATAAAATTAAATTTAAAAATATTCAAAAAAATTAAGCATAGAAAAAATAGTTGATTTGATGAAAGAATAGTAAATATGATAGTAAAATAAGACGGAAGGAATAATACTTTTGTAATTTTAAACACAAATTTTATATATTTGGATTAAATTTAATAAATGAAAAATAATTTCAAACAAACTTTATTAATGTAACTAGATATATAAAATTCTTCTTAAATTTGTTCACATAATATGACATTATTTGAAGTATTAAAACTTAAAAGTGAAGGTATTACAAAAAAAAAAAAAAAAAAAAGAACAATGCTTACAAAAAATCACTTATTTTTTGTTAATGTTTTCTTTTTGGTGTTAATCTCTCGAATAGAATTTAGGACATATATCGGATAAAAGATACTTTCAAAATAAGAGGAGGGTGGGGCCCACGCTGGAGGACACATTATCCACGCGTCATTATCATGCGGCGCCAAGAAAGCGTTTCGCGGTGAATTGCCACCTTCAGGCTATATCCCACGACATATCTGCACCGTATACTTACGACATACGTGTATACTTACAATTCCGCTCCACTCTTTTTGTGCTTCTGCTGCATATATATTCGAGTGAAACAATCTGGCTCTACATGTACGGAAATGGCAAGAAGGTGGGTGGGGTATATGTAATGCGGAGTTAAACCCCAAAAAAAGTTCCGTGCTTTAAGAGAGAGAGAGAGAGAGAGAAACAGCGATGATAGAGAGCTCGAGTGAAAATGGCAGCGGGTTCACTGATATAGAAACGAGGGAAGAAGAAATGGAGAGGAAGAGGAAGGAGAAGCCGCCGGAGGACGATTGTTGCCCCATTTGTTTCGGGGACTTCACCGTGTCTTGCAGGACCAATTGCGGCCACTGGTTTTGCGGTATTTTTTTTCTTCCCTTTTTGGTTGAATCCATGATTAATAGTCAAAGCATTGTTTTTGTAGTATTTGTATGATAATATCTTGAAGATCCTAAAGTCCAGTTTTCTGTAGTGCCCAGTTACTGTTCGACTAATTTCTTCATCTGTAAATAATTAGTTTTAGTTCGTAGACAACATCAAATGCAATTGATTAGTCAGATTTATTGGGTTTGATGGATATGCTTCAATTGTGTGTATATCTGGTGAATACAGACTTCTATACTGCATGTTTCAAGAAATGAGCTAACTCAGTCATCAAATATCCATTTCTTCCATGCTTCAATTTTGTGCATATCTAGTGAATTCAGGCTTCTATACTGAGCTAACTCAGTCATCAAATATCCATTTCTTCCATGCTTCAATTGTGTGTATATCTAGTGAATTCAGGCTTCTATACTGCATGTTTCAAGAATTGAGCTAACTCAATCATCAAATATCCATTTCTTCCATGCTTCAATTTTGTGTATATCTAGTCAATTCAGGCTTCAATACTGCATATTTCAAGAAATGAGCTAACTCAGTCATCAAATATCCATTTCTTCCATGCTTCAATTTTGTGCATATCTAGTGAATTCAGGCTTCTATACTGCATGTTTCAGGAAATGAGCTAACTCAGTCATCAAATATCCATTTCTTCCATGCTTCAATTGTGTGTATATCTAGTGAATTCAGGCTTCTATACTGCGTGTTTCAAGAATTGAGCTAACTCAGTCATCAAGTATCCATTTCTTCCATGCTTCAATTTTGTGCATATCTAGTGAATTCAGGCTTCTATACTGCATGTTTCAAGAAATGAGCTAACTCAGTCATCAAATATCCATTTCTTCCATGCTTCAATTTTGTGTATATCTAGTGAATACAGGCCTCCATGCTGCATGATTCAAGAATTAAGCTAACTCAGTCATCAAATATCCATTTTTTCCATGCTTCAATTCTGTGTATATCTGGTGAATACAAGCTTCCATACTGCATGTTTCAAGAATTGAGCTAACTCAGTCATCAAGTATCCATTTCTTCCATGCTCAATTGTGTGTATATCTAGTGAATTCAGGCTTCTATACTGCATGTTTCAAGAATTGAGCTAACTCAGTCTTCAAATATCCATTTTTTCCATGCTTCAATTGTGTGTATCTAGTGAATACAGGCTTCCATACTGCATGTTTCAAGAATTGAGCTAAGCCAGTCATCAAGTATCCATTTCTTCCATGCTCAATTGTGTGTATATCTAGTGAATTCAGGCTTCTATACTGCATGTTTCAAGAATTGAGCTAACTCAGTCTTCAAGTATCCATTTCTTCCATTCTTCAATTGTGTGTATATCTAGTGAATACAGGCTTCCATACTGCATGTTTCAAGAATTGAGCTAACCCAGTCATCAAGTATCTATTTCTTCCATGCTTCAATTGTGTGTATATCTAGTGAATTCAGGCTTCTATATTGCATTTTTCAAGAATTGAGCTAACTCAGTCTTCAAGAATCCATTTCTTCCGTGCTTCAATTGTGTGTATCTAGTGAATACAGGCTTCGATACTGCATGTTTCAAGAATTGAGCTAACTCAGTCATCAAGTATCGAGTTCTTCCATGCTTCAATTGTGTGTATATCTAGTGAATACAGGCTTCCATACTGCATATTTCAAGGATTGAGCTAACACAATAAATATCAATTTCTTCCTTGATTGTGGCTGGACATTGAGAATCATATGTAGATACTATTTACAGAGTAGTTATTATTGGAACCTTGGGGGTGTGGGGGTGTGGTTAAGTGGAAGGGAACCATCCATCCTTAACCAAACATCAAGGGATCGATACTGTCCGACCGTGGAAATCCTGGGTTACCCCAAAAAAGAGTAGTTAGATAATGGGTTATGTTCAAACTTATAATCCGTTATTAGTGCTTTCAAGCCAAACTTGCAGCTAAGTTCAATATTTTAGCTTTGTCAGATAATTTGAACATGTTGGGGGTCTTAAGATTCCTCTCATAGTTGGGATATGGAAGTTCCTACGTATCATAGAAGATTAGAAACTTTTCTCTAACCTTAACCTGCATTTTCCATTGTAGGCATCCCTCCCAAATAAAGTGATGATTTTCCCTAACTGTGTTTTTCTAAACCATTCCTTTTCCATTCACAGGAAATTGCATTTTGCAACTCTGGATGTATAGAGGGGCACTTCGGGCTTGCAAGTGTCCCATATGCACTTGCTCCATCTCCAAGCTGACACCGGAGGCATCATTGTTTTTTCAACAGGAAAAGGAAGTTGTTGACCTCCTTAAGGGCATTCAGCAGTACAATCGTCTATACGTAGGGGGTTTGAATGGGCTTTTGCTGGTATATTGTCTAACTGGCACTAGTATGTTTTTTGAGGTTGCATGTTAACTTTGTACATGGCAACTTTTTGTTTAACTTTATATTCTTTTTCACAGAAGATACCTCTCTTATTTAGAAGAGTTTTCTGGGCACTTATGGACATGCTTTTGGATCCGCATCAAATAAGACTAAACTATAATATGATGCGCCTTGTGGCTGTAAGTTCATGGAAACTTGACTAATGCCATCCGTCTTTTTTTGCTAAATTCTTTCGTTAGTACATCGAGATATCTTGTGAAGTTGTCGTTAGTACATCGAGATATCTTGTGAAGTAGATTTGGTGAGACTAGGACTAGAAGGTTTTGAGATCAGTCTATCGTCCTTGTTACTATATCCTCACACCCCGGCCCGACAGAGCATCTGGGAGGATGTAAATCATGGTAACTCAACTGAACATGAACCACAGAGGCCCCCCTCACTTTGAGAGGTTGTTCTCACACTGCCACTGGTGAGACTTGATCCCTGGTCATTCTTTCCAACTTTCACCTCTATGACCAGTTGAGCTACCCATGCGGGCTATCCTCTCATATTTCTCATTTCTCCACTGGATGAGTTCACAAGAAAAAGAAATCTTGGAATATTTAGCCCCACTACCTTCCTTATTATCATATAGCCATATAGCGAAAGTTAATGTCTTACACACTGTATGTATTATCTCTTTTATCATTTCACAAAATAACAGAAAACTAACTCGGTTTAATGTGACCTCACATCAAAGAGGACTGACGAAGTCTTCTTAGTTCTAACTTCTTCAGTGGCTTTGCTCCTCAGCTTTACCAAGTTGCATCTAAATCAATCAGGCATCCAAGATAAGACATTACTGATACTATGTTTTCTGCAGCCACATTGTAGTATCTTCAAAATTGCATGAAGTAGTGGCAACCTAGGCTGGTTTATCTCCTTATGGTCATTTGCCGGCTAAGGTCACAAGGAGGGGTGTACACCCTTGGGTAGTAGCTACGAGTTTTTCTCGTTAGTCAAAAAAAATATTACAGAGTACTATAATATGATGTTGTGTGCATAAAGTGTGGAAACACATGTACTATCACATGATAGTGTATGCATTTAGAAGTTAATCCACTTCTACTTTCTTAATGTTTACAAATTCCTATTGCAGCTTTTGCTAGGTTGGATCTACCGCACATGTGAGTTTGACTTCATTCCCACTGGTAAAATCCCTTCTGTTCTTTTGGAATTTGTTGATTCTATACTTCATTATGCTGAATCAAAGCATGTATGAGAATACAATGTCATCATCTCATCCAATATATATCTCGTTACTCGTATGAATGAGGCATTGTCAATCTTGATGGGGCGAAATGCTGAGAAATGAGGTATTTTGCAGGTAGACTGGGAATTTATGGGTTGTTTGATACCTGTGCGGTTATAGTGGTTGTGGTTCTGTTCTTTGCCGGCCTATACCGGAAATGGGTGCGTGGCCGCCGTGTGAGGCGGTTGGCTATGGAGGAAGCATGGCCTAATTGAAGCTTGCAAATATCTGGATTTTAGCATTTCTTTGTGACATCCCAACCAATCTAGTGTTAGCCTAGTCTTCAACTATAGATACCCATTAACCAGTCGCCGCGTAAATACGGTCGTTATTTTGCCGCAAAATCTGTTAGTGCCAGCAGATGACAACCACATTTCCCTCGTAGTCTTGTACAGTACTACAGTATATTTATTTATATTAGCGGTAATTTAAACATATTTTAAATTATTTTTCCTTTTATTTCATGTTACATTAACGAATAATACAACACCTTGTTACATTAACCAATCAGATTTTTTTTAAAAAAAGTTTGTCAAAATAATTTATGGACATAAAAATTTGTGAATATACTATTACGGTAACTATGAATATAGAGTATGAATATAGAGTTTAAAAATTATGAACATAGAATTCTATAATTATGAGTATAGACTTCTTGAAGACGAAAAAATATATATATTTTTTAAATTGACATGATGTTGTTTTCCATCAAAATGACGTCATTTTGGAATTGTATTCACCCTGTAATGCAGACATGGTTCCACAACATAATTTGTTAAAATATTGTGTTTTATGTGGATCATAGTTTAAAATATTCTTATTTTGATGTTAAAATAGAATAATGAACATTCTAATGTAAGATAATGTACTTTATGTTTATTGGACCGTAATCTAACGGTTCACGCAATAAAGATTGTGTAGTGATTGAGAAAGATAAACAAGGAGAGGGCCCCCCACTGAGGGAATACCTGGCAGGCTGGCGACGTTTTGTCTTGACTCGGACTTACAGGATCATCCGCTAAACACGTCATCCTTTCGTCTCCATTCTCCATCTTTCGATCCTTCTTCTTTCTCTCTCTGTACAGCTTTCTCTCTCTTCTTAGTGTTTACGGAGTACTTTCTTCTCTCTGTATAAACTCTATTTGCGATCAAACCCCCTGGAGGCTCGAAGCTTTCTGGTTTTGACACACGAGGGATTCGGGACACGCTGCAATAATCAGTACTGGGATGAAGAGGTTCTTCTTCAATCTTCCGAGCTCTCACCGACACCATCACCTTCATCAGAACCCTAATCGTGACAATTCCTCCGTCGCTGCGAGCACTAGTACTAGCGAAGCCACGAATCCTTCGTATTCATCGGAGCTCCGCGAATCCGCATCGGGGAGGACTGAGGAGGAAGTGAGCAGTTACGAATCAGCGAACGGTGGAGAGGTGGAGGAGGATGGAGGCGAAGAAATATCGCCGTTTCGCGGCGAGTCAGCGGAGTGGATAACCGCGTCGGCTTCTGGTCAGAGGAATGCGGATGGTGATGATTCAGCCTCCTTGTCGATGAGCGCGGTTGCTAGGGAGAACAAGGAGGCGGGAACTGCGATGAGTGCGAGGATGGATAGCCCTCCTAGTGACGATTGCTGCCCTATATGCTTCAGCAATTTCGTCGTCCCCTGCCGCGGCCCCTGCGGTCATTGGTATTGCGGTATGGCTCTGCCAAAATTTTAGCATCTTCTTTGTGTTTGTTTGAAGCAATTACTCCACTATTTACTAGCAGTGGGATCACGAAACTTAGATTCCTTTTCTGTTTTGAACTTACCAGTATTTGGTGAAAGAATGGGGATTGGGTTTTTACTGGAAATGGAAAAAAATATGTCAATGAATTATTGTAGATATGGGGGCACATCCACTTTTGACTTTTGAAGCGGACTGATTTTGTAGCTCACAGAGAATTAGGTGTGTTTCTTCAAGATTGGAAATGTGCAAAATTCTGGTGGCACTTTCCAGTAAAACTTGCAGCAATGGAAGAACATATGCTCCAGTATTAAACAAATGATCACCTTGTAGCCACCTGATTGTGTGCATTAAGTAAACCCAGTCTTTGTGGCCCTAGCCGGCAAAGTATCACAAGGAGTTGTCCAACTTGTAATCTTGTGAGTTGTGACTACTGAATCAACAGCCTGACCAACTTGGCTGGGTTTGTTCCCTACACTTGTACTAACTTCAACGGTAGGGAAGATGTTTTAACATTCATGTTGTCAAATTACTGGGTTTCGGTTTTAGCTTAATCCACTTGCATGAATTCCTTTGCTTTATGTTCTATACTATTGTTTTTATTTGGACAGGAGGCTGCATTTTGCAGTACTGGAACTATAGTGCAGCCCTTCAGCCTTGCAACTGTCCTATGTGTTCGAAACAGATAACTAAGTTGACACCTGAGGCATCATTGTATCACTCTCGGGAAGTTGAAGTTACTGAGGTTCTGGGAAGTATTCGAAAATATAATCGGCTTTTTGTTGGGGGCACATATGGCTTCATGCTAGTGCGTTGAGCTTTTTCATGGTTCTTTTTGGAATATCTATTTGTAGATAACCAGTCTAGTTATTATGCTTCAATAACTCCCTTGCTCTGTCTTGTTTCTGCAGAAAGTGCTTTGTTTGCCATTATACGTCAAGAGATTATTTCGTGAAATGATGAATCCTGATAGACCTGGTGCTCATCTAAACAAATTGCGAATTTGTGCAGTAAGTTTATCTAGCTTTTTCATATCCTTAAGCTATAGAGATGAGAGATGAGTGACGAGAGAAATCTGCAACCACTACTCAAGGGTGTGATCGGGGTAAATCTCGCTTTATAATCCTAGCCGGCAAAGGACCACAAAGAGGTAAACCAGCATAGGTTATGTATAACTGACTGGCTCAAACCAACTGGGAGTTGAATTTTGTAACCTTGTGATTACCAAGTCACCAACTTAGCTTGGTTTGCCCCCAACCTCCAATTTTTTTGCTTAAGCTAATGCTGGTTGCTCTGTTCTTGCAGATGTTCCTGGGTCTCCTTTATACGTTCTGCCCCTTCGATTTTCTTCGAATAGGTACACAAGTCTAGTTTGATCCCTCTCTATGTATACACTTCATGCCCCGGATAATGTATCTGCATAATTTGTTCCCTGTTGTTTTGAGCACACCAATGATGCCCATCATTCTGCAGGCCGTCAAAATGTCATAGATACGTTTGATTACTCCGCCATTGCACTTTCATTCGTCTTGTATCTGGTTGGACTCCTTCACCGAAGAAGGCGCTTCCAGAATGTCAGGGAGATGGCAGCCATTGACCCATGATACTGCCCAGGCATTAGCTTGTAGCTTGAAATGGTACAAAATGACAGCAGTACAACATGCATGTGTATACCATGGACGACCCGGGTCCAAAAATAACTTTCAAATTCTGTATTTAGTTGACACATTCTATATCTGCAATTATCAAGTCAGGTTCTGTATTTAAAGTATAGTTTCTGTACTTGTAGCTATCATATTATGTGTTTGCAATTATCAAGTTATTTGTTTATATGTACAAAAATTGTTAGGTGTATGTACAAAATATGTTAATTGAAGGTACAAAATTTTTGTATCAAGATTCACACAATGCAATATGAATCCTAGTCCATGGTATAACAATTGCCCACTTTTGGGTTGGGTTATCTGGTTCTCTCACTCACTGTCTTCTAAACTTTTGATTCAGTTTTTTTACAATATGTATGTCTTTAAACAGACAATAATTCTCATTACAGATGTATAAAGCAAATTAATTACATAAGGTTTGTACATTTTGGGAACACTTCACCATAAGGTTTGTACATTTTGGGAACACTTCACCACACAAATACATACTAGCAAGGATTACGCAGTAGTGTTTTTATTATTTATGCACAATAAATACAATGCCAATTATTCTAGAAGACACTATCATATGTACAAATGAATGCTAATTTTTCTTCACATATCTCCTATCAGACGTTCGTACCAAGGACCGTGAACATTGACTGTCACGGAAGCTGCGACCAGTAATACAGTAGCTACTTCTTCCATGATTTCGTTAACTAGAGCCGCTGCTCCTACCTGACGCAGTGCATTTTCTGCCAATTGCTTTCCCTGTTCCCCAGCGCCTCCGAGTACAGCTCCTCGTCCAGCCATATATATGGCGCGGGAGACTCGAAGGAAGACAGGGTCCTCGGATTGCAGGCTCTTAGATAGCATCCTGCTTGAAATATTCTTCATAGATTGAAGAAGCTTTGTCGTGTCCACACAGTTGTCCTGCTCCAGCACTTCGGACAGGGTTGAGATGATGTCTTGAATACCGGCATCTTTGGCAGAGTCCAGCAGTTCAGAGAGGCGTTTGACGCTGGTTTGGGACACCCTTTCCATGTCTGCTGGACTGCCTACCATTTTTAGACTAAGAAGCGTCTGGAGTAGGACTAGAATGCTGCGTATTTAGATAGGAGGAAGAATATATAAGTCTCAAGAAAATAAATGTGTGAATATTATGTGTATGGGTCAAGGAAATTGCAGTTTACCTGGTAGCAATTACAATTATCTTTTGAATGTTTGCTTGGACACCCCTTAGCCTAAGGAGATTGAGCTTCAGAGTTTCTGGCAACATTTCTTGTGTCAGACCGGTTATCCCATTGACCAATTTTAACAAGCCAAGCCTCACACATAAATCGACTTTATTTCCATTGCATTCTGAAGGCAAGAAGAAGATTCAATTGTCATTGTTAGATTTTGAGAAGCGGGAGAAAATGTGTGGATGGGCAATTTTTAGGGGTTAGGAGTTGAATTTACCTATTAAATCCATTGGAGTAGATGGAGAAAGTAATTTTGGGTTTCCCATCGTTTTAACGGCAAAGCTCCCTCCAGTTCGAAGTGTGGTATTTGGAATGAAGGTTTGAGAAGAAGTACCTTGCTGTCTTAATTCAGAGAGCGCATTTTTGTGTTCATTCCATTCTTGATCCATGTTTTCCCTTACAGGCAAAAGCCACTGCATTGTCAACGGTAAGGCAGTAATAGCATCAGAGGGAGGCCCATAACGCTTGATAAAAGCTTTCCCCAGATAATCAAAAGCAGCCGGCCCCTTCAAAACTGGTTCCAACATTTTAATGCGTGCTTTGCTAACGTCTTGCTTGAGTTCCTGCCAACATTAAAAATGTCATGCATCCAGTACAGCTATGTTATTGGGAAAAGCAGTTACAAAGTACAATGATTGTCTAGCAATGATGAAAAATAATTAATGCACCACTTTCCTGTTTCCCATGGCACACCACTCCTAGTGAGAGAGTGTGCAGTTCATATAAAGTGTAACCTAATTCAAATATCCAATAAGCATCACCAATTAAAAATAAATTACAAATTGCTCTTAAGCGTTCTTACCTGGATCTTTTCTAACACGAAGCGCAAACCCCTAATTAATGCGAAGATAACTGGATTCTCTGACCCATCATTGGCCTGGCAAATCTCAACCAGCTCTGTCAATAACTTCTGGTGATCTGTGTTTAGCTCATGCTCCTTGAGAGGAGAGACCAGTTGCTGCAAAGTGCCCAGCGTGAACTCCATGATCTTTCCAAGATAAGCTATGTCTAGCTTACCCGAGCTTAGCAACTGAGATGGTAGGAAAACAGTGGAGGATCGAAGGTCAGGTCATGATGCCAGTTAAAAAGCAAATAATGAAGATTTATTAGTTACCTGAAAGAGAATGTCCAGATCAATAGCTTCAGTAATACCATGTCTCCAACTCTGAGGAGCCACATTGCAAAGTTCATCTCTTGCCTCTTTCATTAGGTCAACAATGCAGCTGTAGTTAGGCTTGTCCTTCATGGATTCCATGATATTGTCCCAAAATGCCTTCTCCATTGTCTCTCTTACTTTTGCCTGCACAGTGCACAGTAAGAGTGACCAAATTCAATGTTTTGTACGTAACCATTGAAGAAGTATTTAACAACAGATCACATCCAGAATTGAGAAATTTTTAAGTTCAAAAACACTAACCTTGATACCAGCTTCAAGCTCATCTCTACTATCAGCAAAATCAAGATTCTGTCCATGCACACATTCATTCACAATCAACTCATTCTCCAAGTCCAATCCCTCAGCAGCATATTGTGGGTTGTTAGTGCTAGGAGCTGAAACACTAGATTCCTTTGGATCAGACCCATCCCTAAACAAGGACCTCACCACACGGCTAGGCCTGACACTATCCTCTATAAAATGATTATTTTCAACTGTTTGACCAACAGAAGATGAGGGACTCTGAGAAGCAGGGCATCCATTTTCTCTAGACTGGAAATACTTGTCACGTGTATCAGAGAGTGCATTTTCCATGCGCTCTATACCAGCATCTCCACTTAGGTGATGCACTTTCTCCCTTAAAAGTCTCTGGTCTGCAGTAACCTGCATCAAAAGAAGAGAAAAATTCAAAATTACTCACACAGAAGTAGCAAATAAGGAAGTTAAAACCCGATGCACTGGACTGAAAAGAATTTGGCCAAGAGAGATTTGTAAGTAGGGGCGCACCTGTTTCTGGACAGCCTTCATATCATGAGTAAGAGGACCACTATCACCTTTAGGTGTCATCTTGCATGTCTGAATCATAGAGATTTCAAGCTGGCATGCAGCTCTCACCAAATCTTTCTCCAACGATTGAGCATCTTTAACCTTCCACACCACAAAACTATTCAAATAAGAGCACCATGCTGAATCATAAGCTGCAAGCTGTGACCTGAAAGTTTTACGTTCTACTGTAGAATTATCTGAAGTCAGTGTTGGCCCATTTAATATTATTCTAATCAACAGTTCAAACTCTTGGACAAATTTCTCTGCAGATGTTGCTAGAGCAACCTCACGTTCGCCTTGACCACTGAGCACTGCATCGGGATGACCTAGTATCATATAAGCACAGAGCACAACTCGAACCTGGTACCGTGACAACTTAACAGGGGATCTTACAGCAGGTTTGCAAGAACCTGCTTTCTTTGCATCCCCATTGGAGATAGATCTCCTTGGTCTAGCCATTCTTTTAGGGGAAGCAACACGCTTAAGAAGGTGATCGATATCATCCCAACTAGAGGCATTAGAAGCACTGGTAAACTCACGTGACAACTTGTAACGGAATTCAAGTCTATCAAGCAAGGCCTTTGTAGTCCGAAGAGCATAACTAGATTCAATGAGAAGTGCAAGCTGCTCAAATGGCATCATCTTCACTGAGCTTTCATTGATATTTAATACGTTATAAGCATTAGCAAGATGTGAGGTGGTTTTACTCTGCTTACGGAATTGCCTCCAGCACCTGCAAAAAGGAGTTTTGCATATTTTATATATGATGACAGAAGGTGAAGAAGCCTAGTACTAACTGATTAACAAAAGAGCCAACTGTGTATGACCACTACTTCTTTCTACCTTCAAAGGTTAACTTTGGCAGTAAATTGTACTTCATGTACCTTGCTAATTTTATGGAGAGGTGATCAGCTTGCTCATGCATTTTACTGTAATTGCTGTTAATATGCAGTCTTCCTCTCTGCATCAAATATGCTGCCCTCTGTCTCTTTGCCTATATACCATACAAAATTCTGAGGTTAGAAGAACAACAATAAAGTCTGATAACATATTTTTATTGAAGTTGGAATTACTTACCCTCTGTAGTCTGTCTTCTAACTTGTTTTTCATTTCCCTCGTCTTGATCTCTCGCTGGTGAGAAACAGACTTTGCCACTCTTTGTACTTGCATGACCCTATCACAAGCCTTCCTCTTCTCCGCTTCCAGCAATCCCATTCGCTTCTTTTCCGCTGCCGCACGCTTCTGGCAAATGGCTGCGCCTACACACTCCTTGTACTTACTTTCTCGAGCGATTCTTCGTAATAATGATTGAGATGTCCTCTCCCTCAGAGTAGCCCTCCTTTGGTTATAAGCCTTAAGTATAAGCAACCTATTAGCCTCAGCCTGCTGAACCCGCAATTCCACTTTGTTACCTAACTCAGCTCGCTCTTCTCTGAATCGCATTTCTGCTTCAGTTTTAGCTGCTTGCCGCAACTCATGAAGCTTAGCCAGCCGCATCTGGGCTTTAGCAAGAATGCTCATCCTGCAAGTCAGAAAATCAAAAGTTGGAAATCATAGAACTTTCAAAAGTGATCCCTAAAGTATTATTTTTCACATTTTCCAATTTCTAGTTAGGTTATGTAGTTCACTAGAAATAGTTCCTAGTTTTCCAGGAATAAATACAGGAATGAAGATTAATCCGTATTACTGACTCAGATCATTACCTTGACAGGGACCTAAAAAATGATCACATCATCACATAGAAAGCTATTTAATATTTACAATTAACTACTGACCTCATGTCAAAAGGCCCTACATAAATAAGTAATTCCAAATGGTTTATGACAAAGACTAGATAGGGTTCTGAAATGTGCAACCAAATTAGACAAATTCTATCAACAAGTAATAAACTCCTCTATCAAAACATTTCAGCAGAAGATCACCTTTTCTCCTGGGCAGCTTGAAGT